TTCCAGCATGTTTTACCAGAATTAAAAAAAACTTTAAATTTCATTAACACTTGTTTTTAAAATTTAATAAGATTTCATCTTTATTTTAATAAATATTCTTAATTTTCATTACTGGTATTTGTATTTAAAGTATTTAATAAAGAAAAAAATGTAAATAGAAGTATTTAAAATTATTAAGTGCCCTATAAATAAGATCAATATTTTTCTTTTTTCTTTGTTCTATAATAGAATTAGAGGAGTATAATTTTAAAGATAATTAACTAACTCATAAGGAGTGTAATTTGATTAAAAATATTTTATAGTATCAAACAGAGGAATACATCAACTCATTAATTTGAAGTCTTTTTATAGGATTAAACTTATCTTTAGTTAACTCTTAAACTGCTTCCCATGCAGGACTTAGATATAATGTGGCTTAGAGACCCGTTTGAGAGTTTTTCAAAGATGTAGACTTCCAAATTGCTTGTGATCGCTTTAATGGAAACTCTATGGACACAACAAACGAGCCAAATGGGGGGTTCTTGTATGTAAGATCTAATCATAAGACCAAAGATTTCTACAAGTTGTGGATTGAGTCAAGAAAAATTGATCCAAAACTAAATGAACAAGACGTGCTTAACAAGATCAAGACCCACTCCTTTGTGTCTAAAAGGAAGATGATAATTAGGTTCCTTGACACAACTTATTTTGGAGGGTTTTGTCAAGTAAGTAGGGATTTCAACAAAGTTTGTACCATGCATGCCAATTGTGTGTGTTGGTTTGGACAACAAGATCTTTGATCTAAGATTTTGCTTCAAGATTGGAGACACTACATCACTTTGAATCCAAATCAGAAATTACATTCACACCCTTCTTGGAGGGTTCCAAACAGTTGCAGGTAATAATTGGTTTGTTTGATTCTATTCTCTATTTTTATATTTTTAAAATAATTCCATAGAGTATTTTTTTTAATATAGAACAAGTTTGGAAACAATTTTTTTTTAAAAAAATCTGTTTGAATTAGAAGTGGTGAAATGGGGGTTGAAAAAAGAAGAATGACAGTTAACTTCCAAATGATTGAATTAATGACAATTAAGTTCTTGAAAAGTTTTTTTACAAAATAAATTATAAATATCAATTTAAATAATTACAAACAGAAATTTGTGTTATATTCTAAGAGTTATATTTATTATTTAAATATTATTTGCAATTGAAACATCTGAATTTATAATTATTTGAATTGATATTTTTAAGTTATTTTTTAAAGAATTTTTTTTTAAAACTTAACTATCATTACTTCAATATTCTGGAACCAAAGTGTCATTCTCCCATGAAAAAATGGTTTCTTTATCAATATAATTACCACTAATCGAAACATGATGTTGTTGACTATTCTTTTTTTTTTTGTAGAACAAAAGGTAATAAAGCATTTAAAAAGATATGTTTTGTTTTTTTTATTTTTTCAGAAAAATTTAATATTTTTTCAGAAAAATTTAATATTTTTTCAAAACATATAACCAAAAACATATTATTAAACATGTTGTTTCATTTTTTTTTATTTTTCAAAACCAAAAAAAAAAATTTCTCAAACGTGAAATCAAATAGGCCCAATGTCTCAATTGGATTTTAGCTTTTCTGTAAAAATTAAAGGACTCCCTTTTGATCCTTGGACCATCAAATGACCTTGTTTGTAGGGCCGACCTTAACTATCCTATTTTTCATTTTTTCTCCCTGGTCTAGGAAATTTTCTCAATTTTAGAAGAGTCAAATATAAAATATTTGGAGGCAAATTCTCTCAATATTAATGTGCAATCATGATCAACGTGCAATAAGTTTGTTTTAACTTCTGGAGGCTAAAAAAACTAAACAGGCTTTGACAATTCAGAAACTATTATAAAATAAGTAATTAATAATAATTTAATTCATTATAAATATAGCCTCAAAAATGTTCCTCCATTTTTGACATCATTTTTTTTTCTTTTATTTTGCAAATTATTGATATATATGAAGAACGTCATTCGAACGTGCCGCACAAAAGAGGAATAAAGAGAACAATGAGAAGTCGTGGCCGTCGATGACTTATAAGCATAATTGAAGAAGCATATAATTGTATACAAAGGTATGGTTTAACTGGTGAAATCAAAATTTACATTTACACACCATATATATATATATATATATATATATATATATATTTAACATGCGGATTTTTAGACATGTTAGAGTGGTTCTAATTAATTATTAATTAAATTGGTTCATCGAAGGCCTACTAACACATGCACCATTAATTGGTTTTTGTAGAGTGATTGAAGCCTATTTGTCAGAGTTTATGATCGTGGAAAGCCAATTGCTGGTCAAATTCAATTGAAAATGAAGGAATATAGAAAAGCAAATGTACAAGTTCTTAAGCCTATTTACCATTTTTGTTCATGTTAATTATATATTCAAGTTCTTAAGACAAAAGTTGAAGCAACCTGTGAATTTCAATACTCATAGTTGACATTCAGTCCTACATTTTAATTATCTTTTATACCTTTTTTTAATCTTTATTGTTGTATATTTATGATAGCTTCTTCTTTTTCTTTTTTAATTGAAAAAAAAAAGCACAAAGTTGTATGATTATGAACCTTCCATTTTATGATCAATGATGTACAAGCATTATTCTGCAGTGCATAATTCTTAATTCTTGATCTTTCAATTTGTGCTTGATCCCCCAATCAATTTTATCTCCACGGGAACATAAGACTGTCAATTCAAAAATAAAATAGGGACAGTTGTGTCAAAATTCTAAAACAAACTTAAAAAAAAAACCACTTTACAGTTTTTTTTTAGCAGTGTCATCTCTCTTGAACTTGCTAAAAAACTTAATTACCATGATCGAGTTGCATTAGAGTGGGGTAAACATTACAATTTAAAATGATCAAAATATTCTCAATAAATGGGAGAAAAAGTAGTGATAATTTTTCATAGAGTAAAATAAATTGACCTCTATTCCAGTTTACTTTAGTTTTGTAAACTTATTTATTTAATAATTTTAAAGGATATAAATACATAAGCTGTCTAAAATAATATTTTAACATATTTGAATTTCTGTTGAAAGAGATGCTTACATTTAATATTCGATTATGTTTCAAACAAATTACTTTCAATAGAAGAATGTTTGTGAAAATTAAAAAAATGATAATTCAGTTATTAGAAAAAGATTCGAAAGGCCAAAATTGCCTTTGCAGAAGATTTTCCCTTGTTAGGGAGCTATGGAGACAGGGAAGAAGGAGAACAAAGAACCCTCTCCTATCAGAATTCAGTGACCAAAGAAGCGGAGGCTACCAAGGAGAACGAGACTATGCTTTTTGGTATAAAAGATGAAGCCACCATTAACACTGAATTTGAAACCTTACAAAATTTGATGCATGGGATCTTGATGGACAAGTTGGACCTAAAATGCCCCGATTCACATTCGTGAGGGAAGAAAAATGAGAGACTTAAAATGAGGACTACTGTAAAATTAAAATGAAAATTTTACTTAGTGTCTCAACTTTTAAGGCTTTTTATATGTTAATTTAAAAGGTTAAAAATATATCATTTTTATATTTTATTAAAAAAATTAAAATGTGTGGCCCCTTGTTAGTCCTCCTCTCTCCATCCATGGTGAGCCCCACATTATATTTTATAATATTTTTTATTATAAATTATTTGAGTTGAGAGATAAAAATGACTGTCCAGATAGAAGTTAAAAGATAAAAATGACTCTTAATTAATAAAAAATATTAAAAAATAGTGAGACTCACTGATGACTAATATATGTTAAGTATTTTTAATATTAGGATGATAATGGGTGAAATCTTTAAAGTTGAGGGAGATAATTGAACTATAGTTAAGTTTAAGAAGATTTGTGGTTTTTCATATATAGTTTAGTAACAAAAATGATTCTTAACCCAAGATAATAACTACTAAGACAATAATACTTCTTGATTTATATATGCTAAAAATATATATATATATATATATATATATATAACATCAACTAAATTTCCAAATTAAGGCCAATTAAATTTGTTAATAACTTATTTTTTATTTTATCAATAATATTGTTAATCTACTAGCAAAACTTGTTAACCACAACTCCTATATATTTAATCTTGATGACTTGTAAAAATATTAACTTATTATTTACTAATGATACTTATCAATTCACTAATAAAACTTGATGAGAAACTTTTTATTCATTCAATTACAGTGACTTATTAAAACCCTCACTTATTAATTATTAATGTTGCTTGTTAACTTTTTAAAAAAACTTGTGATAGTACCTTTTACATATTAATTATGATAACTTATTAAAATTTTAACTTAACTTATTAATTAATTAATACTACTCATACTCATTAATTTTTAGCAAAACTTATTGACAGTATCTCATGTCAAATGTTGATCTTTGGTTAAAAAAAAAAAAAAAATCTCACGGCAAAAATATCTCTGTTAGTCCCTCCTCCTCCCAAGAGGCAGCGCCATTGCGCGGGACCTAGCGGTAAGAAACCCGACGATTTGGTTTGAAGTGGGATTCCATCAATCTATGGAAGCACTTCATGGTTTCTTCCTCACTTCTCCATTCCCTTTGATCACCACGCCGTCTGCTCCTTCAAAACGTCGTCGTTGCCGTCTTCGAGATCGTCCTTTCTCCGTTGAAGCGGTGCAACCAGAAATTCGGGTATGCACGAATCGGACTTGCCGCAAACAGGGCTCCTTTCAAACCCTAGAAATCCTTTCTGGTCTTGCGCCTCCGAATGTCGCCGTCAAACCGTGCGGCTGTTTGGGCAAGTGCGGTGCTGGTCCCAACCTGGTGGTCCTGCCGGACGGTGTCATCGTTGGTCATTGCGGAACTGCGGCTCGAGCGGCTGAGGTCATGTTGGGTTTGATTTCCGCAGGAGAAGGTTCGGATTCCTATGATGCCAAAAAGAGTTTAGATGCGCTTGCGCTTAGGAAGAGAGCTGAGGTTGCGTTCGAGAAGCAGAATTTCACTGAGGCTGAACTTCTGCTCTCACAGGCACTCCATCCTTTTCGCGCCTGAATGTGAAGTTTACTGTTTTATTGACTATCATTGAGGCGAAAAGTTATATTTTTTCTTTTGTTTTTAAAGAAAATCATGTAGTAGTTTCGTGATCAAGAGCTCGATTTTTTATGTAGTTAGATTGGAGTTGAGAAGCTATATTGAGATTGATATTGTCGAGTTTTTGGTTGGTGCAGGCTATCGAATTAAAACCATTAGGTGGTGTACATGTAATATAAATGCAGGTATGTTGTCACGAACTTAAAGTTAAAATTATTTCTGCGAAGGTTTATTATGGTAGCCCTGTGGAAGGTCGTGGATTTTTTGTTATGCTCCATTTAGTGGTTTTATAATTCGATTTACCATTAGTCTTTTCATTTGGTCATCGTTAAAATACTATGCATTTTTTGTTGCCTATTTTTCCAGAAAAGAGAGCTTGCAACAGGTGTTGCTGTTTCCTTGCTTGCAATCTGGCTTCAATATGAGAGAATATAGTTTTTCCCCCATTTCACTTTGAACATAATCCTTGGTGTCCTGCAAGAGTTTCATCTCCACTGTGCTAACCATGATAAGTAAGTTGAGACCTTTACTCTTCCGACATTCAGGTCAGTTGTAAGGTTGGCATGGGTAAATATTCTGGAGCTCTTGAAGACGCAAGGGAGGCTTTGGCATTAGCACCTGAGTATGCTGAGGTGAGCCAATCTCTTATAAATTTATATAGAACAGAGTTTCATGACATTCCAAATCACGGTGGGTAAGTATGATATTTAATTGATTAAATGGCACTGGGTGAAAATACATGGTTTGGGTTACATCATGGAATACTTCTCTCTAGAAATTAGTGATTCCTGGACAATTACCGTTCAATGATGCCCGTTAATCAAAAGTATTTTACTCATTTTTTTTTTTTATCTCAAGTCATAGTAACGGTTCAGGTTAAATGGTGCACCTTTGTGCATTTGAGTAAAGATGGGGACATCAATTTGTATTCCTTTCCAATCCCCGCACAGTCATAACTTGCAATTATGCATTAAGATATCATGAATGCTATTTGTTGAGCAATACGGTGTTCTTTTAAAGTTGAAACGTGTGCATCTTGGCTATTGATGCATTTGAAATGCTCAATCTTCGTAAGCAGCATGAGGAGTTTAATTTGTGCATACCCTATAAAATCTTCTTCGATGGATCAGATCTTCTATTTAAAGTATTCATGTAGAGATGATGATGGCGAGCCAAGAGACCAGTCCTTAGGTATCAACATGATTGCGGTAGCAATATTGGAATTACAGTCGACTTGGTGAAGTTTTGAGTGACAACAAGTATTTTTGTTTTGACTTCTGCCAAAAGCTTCATAAATCTTTTCATCAAAGGGATACTGCCCTTTATAGTTTAGAATTATAACAATATTCAGGATCTTATCTCAATTAGTCAGGATATGAATTGTTTGTTTTTGTAACGGCCCTGATATTCTAACCATTGGTTTACTTGTCTACCATCAGTTTGAATATATATAGTGATAACATCTGTTTGAATATGTTTGTTTTAACTTTGGTGTGTTTTTGTTTTACCCAATAAAATAATTTTTTATGTGGATTTAATTTAGTAATTTATCATCTCACTGTTCCTGCCAAAATCAAATTTACTTTCATGGTTTAGGAGCATGTCACTGAAATAGATCTTGTGAACTACTTTTCAGGCTTATCTTTGCCAAGGTGATGCATTTTTGGAATTAAAGCAATTCGATTCAGCAGAAAAGTCATATTTGGCATCTATAGATATAGATCCTTCGATCCGACGATCTAAATCATTCAAGGTAGCATTCAATCTTTTGTCCCCAACTATTTAGATATTTAGATTTTCTTGTATTTCATTTATCTAACGTAAATATTTGCATCCATGTCTATTAAATTCTGCGAGAAGGTTGATGTGGCAAGATTGCAGAAAACTCTGTTATTTCCCTTGATATCTCTCATTTGTTTCTGATGTCGATATAATGAGTAATCATTGAAAGTTTAATATGCTCTGATGGGATGCAAATGATCATTTTGGGGGGGGGGGTATTGATTTAAGCATGTTTTACAAATAAAATTTTCCTACTCATAAAGGATACAGCAACAACAATAACAAGCCTTTATCCCATTAGGTGAGATCGGTTATATGGATTGCAAGACGCCATTGTATTCTATCATTTATCAAGTTTTTAAAAATATTATTAATCAAAAGATCGCGTTCAATAATTTCTAAAAGTGTTCTCGTAGGCCTTTCTCTACTCCTCTTAACAAGGCTCAAAGTTATATATTCCACTCTTCTCATTGGTACCTCACGAGGTCTTCTTTGGACATGCCCAAACCATCTTAAATAATTTTCTATCATTTTTTCTTCAATAGGTGCTACCCTCACTTTTTCGTGTACGTGTTTATTTTGAATTTTATCTTTACATGTATGTGCACACATTCATCATAACATTTTCATCTCTGCTACTCAAACTTTATGTTCTTGTTGTCTCGTTAGAGCACAGCATTCACTATTATATAACATAGTCGGTCTGATAGCAGTACGATAAAACTTTTCTTTACGTTTATTAGGCACCTCACGGCCGTAAATAACTTCTTTAGCTTTTCTTCAATTAAACCACGTAGTTTAAATTTTATGTAAAATATCTCCACTGATTTCACTATTATTTTGAATAATGACTCCCAAATATTTGAACTTTTTTACTTAAGGTGTAATTTGATCTCCTAATTTCACTTCCAAATTATTGTCGACTAGTCTTTTATTAAATTTACAATATAAATATTCCGTCTTACTCCTACTCAGATGGAAACCTTTTGACTCCAATGTCCTCATCCCTAACTCAAGTTTACAATTAATATTTTCTCTTGTTTATGCTTTGAGAATTATATCATCCACGAAGAGTATACATTTGATAATTCTCTCTTGAATATATTCTGTCAAAACATTTAAGTCCAAGTTAAATAGATAAGGACTCAAAGATGATTCCTGATATAATTCAATCTTTATAGACAAGTCTTTTGTTTGACCACTAGACGTTCTTATACTAGTTTTTAACCCCTCATACATATCTTGTATAATTTTAATATAAGCAATCTGTACCTCCTTCTTTTTCAAGGCTTTCCAAAGAACTTCTCTTGATATACTAAGCTTTTGTCAAATCAATAAAAACCATATGTAAATCTTTATCGTTACAATGATACTTTCCCATTAATTCACTTAATAGGTAAATCACCTCTGTAGTCGATTTACTTGGCATAAAACCAAATTGATTCTCAAAAATACTTGTCTCCAATCTCAATCTATGCTCAATTACTTTCTCCCACAATTTCATTGTGTAGCTCATGAGTTTAATCGCTCTATAGTTAGTACAATTCTGAATATCCCTTTTATTTTTATAAATAAGAATTAATGTACTTTTCCTCTCGTCATCAGGCATTTTTTTGGATCGTAAAATTACATTAAATAACTTAGTTAACCATCTCATCCCTTCTTCACCTAAACATATTCACACGTCAATAGATATACAATCAGGTCCATTGGCTCTATCATTTGCCATTTTCTTAAGAACTTCCTTTACCTCCTTATCACGTATTATTTGATAGAATGATAAATTTTGTTCTCCTTCACGAGTTACTAAATTCTCCAAATTACTAGACGAATTCTCTCCATCATTGAAAAGTTTAAAAAAGTAAGTCTTCCATTTGTTTTTAATTTCATCATTTATAACTAAAATTCTTCCCTTTTCATCTTTTATACACCTTACCTATTCTAGATCTTTTGATTTTCTTTTCCTACTCTTAGCAATTTTATAAATATTTCGTTCTCTTTTCTTTGTTTCAAGACTCTTATAAAATTATTCAAAAGCTTTAGAATGAATTTATAAAGGACGGTTATAAAGGATGGTTTGAAATTTTTATTTATTTATTTATTTTGGGGTGGGGTGGGGAAGAGGAGCCTCCCTTGGATTCGTCAGTGGCTCTGAAGATAATCTATCAAGTATAATCTTGTGAACATTGAATCCATCACTTTCGTTCTTTGATGCTTGGACATGGCCATCACTTGTTTCTCCTTTACGCTATGGTTTTGCAGGCACGGATTGCAAAACTTGAGGAAAAAGTAGCTGTTGCTAATAACTTATGAGATCTACCTTTTGAACAAAGGTGCAATGAAATCACACTGATTTCAGGATGTGATTTGTTTACTATTTTCAAGGTGTAATGGATACCTTGCATCAGCTTTCAGTTAGTTGTTCAAATCTCTTATTTTCTCGAGCTTTGTGATGCAATCTGAAGCACCTCCAAAATAAATTCCCAATATTTTCTCCAGCTTTGTCCTTCCTAAGTAATATCTATGTTTACTATTACTTTGACAAAAGAATTCGATGTATAAATAAACATCTAAATTTTTTTCCCCCACTAAATTGGATCCATCTTGTTGGGATTCTCATGTCTTCAAGTAACAGGCAGACTTATCAAATGCGAAATGATTGAAGTTACAATGATATAGATGCTTTTCAATTTTTTTTTTGGTGTGCCAGCATTTGAACCTGTGCCGAAGTGATTCACTGTCAAGCGATGAACCACAAAGACAAAAGGTAGCTGGTGATATAGATGCTTTCTTATTTTAATCAATTATTGAACCACACAAGATACATTTTTTTGTCATGTGTTGTAACCTGATGTTTGAGTGGCCTGTCAATATATTTCACATTACAGGTAAACGATTGTTTCCCAAATTCTTACATATGTGCTTTTTTGAAGCTTTTTCCCCTGTTGAACTGATAAAAAATTTACAAATTCCAAAGCACTTTATAACTTATACTTTAACCCTTGGGCTGGATGGAAAGAAAATTGTGAAAGAATGCTGTAAGAGAAAACACTCAAAAATAGTAATTCTTGTTTACTGTTTTGGAAATTTTCCTTGTATTCTCTCCTCCCTATCCAAATCAAGCCTAAAAGAATCATAAATTGGCTAGTTATAACTGGTAACCTATGACAGTAGTTTTATCCAGCTGGGTCAAATTGGATGGCATCTGTGTTTTTCTGTTACTTATTTATGAAGTCAAATATTGTTAAACTCTGATGGCTTTCTTACCATCTTCCCTATTGTGCCATAAAATGATAAATAGGCCACATAATATTTTCTCTGGAATTAGTATTTTCTTCAATTTGTTGGTTCTTGCTTGTTTTCTCTTCATATTTTTCAGTAATTAGATGCAGGCTTGTACCACTTGTGAGTGTTAGCATGCTTGTTCTGATCGTTCTGTTTGGTTAATAAAATGAAGCCTTCATTGGAGTTGTAATTGTTCATAAATATGGTTTCTGTCTTAACTGAACCTGGCCTTGGGCTGAGCTACTTTGTTGTTATTTTGTTGGCAAATTGAATTCTTTGCGTCACTGGCAAATGGTCAACTGAACTTTTGAAACAGACGATAAGTCACTAACTTCTGAATTATAACAAATAGATTTTTTTTTTTTCTATTTTCTAACAACTTATGTTAAATCATTTGCTACTTGAGAGAAAAATAGACACCCACAATTTTCTAGAATGTTTATATTCATTGAAAAAATTGTCATTGTAGTGTTTGGTATGTTTAAACTCCATGTACATTTTGTAAAAATTTACATTAAATGATATCACATGAAATCAATGTGCAGATGAATCGAAGTTGACCCAGTGCAAAAAGTTCAAAGATGAGATCACTTGACAAATAACTAAAGTAATAATGGCTGATTAGACCAAGTACTTTACTAATGCCGACCTGGCCCATGTGGACCTGTAAGTAGTTGTCATGACTAAGAAGTTTGAGGGTGACATGGCCTGAGATAACCTCGTTGGCAGTTTTCTGTCCATCAAACAAATGTAAGGGTGAAGAATGAAATGGTTTAAACTCTAAAGCACTTAAGCTCTTCGTGTGGAAATGCTAAACGAAAACATAATTCATATCAATTTATAGGCGCAATGAGACTCATAGAGTCCCATAAAATAATGTTAGGTAACATTTGGATTAATGTATTTGAACTTAGAATTTTCAATTTAGAATTCATATATTTAGAAATTTTTATTTCGATAGATAGCTGAAATCCAAGGCAGAAACGAAGATTAAAAATGACACGTATATCTCTATTTTTCAATTAGAGAGAGAGAGAGAGAGGAGAGATGAAAGTAACAAAGGCATCAATAATGAAAATGTGAAGAAATATGAGAGGTTTTTAATAGTTATAATTTCAAATATTTAGGGTTTCAAGAGAATTTAAAATTATAAAAAAATTATAATAAAACATGAATTTGGATTTGATTAAATAGATTTTCATATATTCAAATAATAGATTTGGTTTAAATTTAAATATAAATTCAAATCATCTTGCATCCAGATATAACATTAGATAAATTTGCGTTCAAAGCTTTCACTGACATGTCTACTTGACCTTTTTTTATTTTTTTTATTTTACCAGCGAAAGAAGCAACTTCCATTACCAAGAGACATCACAAAGTACAACATAACAGGGAAATAGAGACAGCAAACTGAAACAAACAGTACTGAAACAATGCAACAGATACAAATTAACAAAAACAAATACGACTATGCTGACAGCCAAGAAAAGCTTTAGCCGATTCCTTCCCTATCTATCTCATTGCTTTGCTGGTCCATATCATATGAGAAAATATGAACAGAATCTCTGAGTATGAGAGAAGCTAAAGGAAGAGATGCCAATAAAACTAGACCATACGTTCCCATCTCCCATGAAGCCTTAGCAGCCATCCAGTCGGCAGCACAGCTCTCATCCCTAAAGACAAAAAAAGTGACAGAAGACTCAAAGATTTAGTATCATGTTAAAATTATGGTAGAAGAGAACATTAACAACAAAGATGATTAGAATCTTACATTAATCTACGCAACTAGAGTGATTTACAAACTCCCAACTTTGAGGTAAAACAATGAGGTGAGAATCTTTGTTAGCCTCCCTCTTGAGTTAGAATACAATCCTCCTCCTCCTCTTCTCATTTCTCCTTGTATAAACCAGGCCTCATTTTTTGTCGGCCCAAACATATTCAGTTTTTGACTTTTGTGCAAACCCCAAACTTTGAAGTGAAATAATGAGGTGAGGACATTTGTTAATCTCCCTGTTGAGGTAGGATATAATCCTCCTTCTCCTCATCTCCTTATTTCTCCTCGCATAAACCAGGGACTATTTTTTGTCGGGCCAAGCATGTTCAGTATTTGACTTTTCTACACTTTTCTACAAATCCTCCAAACCTTCTCCCAGCCGATCCAAGAGTTCATTCTTCCTTTTCAGAATTCCGGTGTCATTGGCAAGGAGATTCTCATAGATGTCACTGATTTTTTTGTGCAGGTTGGCCAATTCCCTGAAATCATTCTGAGATGGAGCACCAGAATCAGATGGGAAACTCATGATTAAAAACATATTATGCTTTGTAAAGTAGTAAAACTAGTAACAATGATGAAATTGCAATGCCATTTGCAATGGATTTGTCTACAAAATTCAAGAGCCATGATAAAACTACAGTGTTGCAGGGATCCCATTATGCTCGAAGGGTCGGATCTTGCTTTTCCCTTGTGCGAGATCTTTCAACAATACAAAGTTTATTCCATGCAAGCAGCGCAATCTTCATCTCCCTGCTCCACACATCGTAATTTTTTAGGCCAACGAGAAGTTGGGACACTTGTGTGAGGGTTTGTGTGTCTGAGGGATGTAAGTAAAAGGGATGTTGAAAATCAATAGTGATCCCTTGTGGCTCCAAAAGACTAACGCGGGGTTGTTGATACCATGTCAAAAGTAAGGTAGAAGAGAATATTAACAACAAAAATGATTAAAATCTTGCATTAATCCGCTCAACTAGAGCCATTTACAACCCCAACTTCGAGGTAAAACAATGAAATAAGGACCTTCATTAACCTCCCATCAGGAATTTATTGAAGCAACTAAGGAGCCTGGTGTTACATTTTTATGGTCAAATTCAATGGTATATTAGGGCATGGATTTCAAGAGATCTCGGTTGGTGAAGCTGTTCCAGTGTGGTAACGACACATTTAAATTTTGTTCCCTCATTTTGCATTGATTTTATTAAACCTCTATGTGATTTAATTGAACTCTCAGTGCTCTTTTAGTTGTCATATCTCTATGGTTTGGTTAGGGCAAGATGGTAAGAGATTTTAGACGAGTGATTATGTGAACAAAGAATTATAGTAGTCCTTTGCATTGGTCAATGATTATTGCAATAAAGTAAGAGCAGGAAAGGGTAAAATGAAAGACAAAAAACAACACATAATTTGAACTAGAGTAAGTCATAGTTTCAATGTGTTCAAGGCGAGTCCTTCACATTAACAACATAGTACTTTCAAAGAAGATGATTGCCAGCCATTTGGGAGTTGTCTAACGGAGCTTCAATTGCAGCACTTCGTGTGTAAAAATTGTGACTTAACCCAAGCGATTATTCCCACAATTAATGCAATAACCACATTGCATTAAACTATCATAAGCATTAAAATTAATCATTGAATTAGGCACAATCTTCATCGCCCTACACCATACAGCATAATTTTTTAGGCGGACGAGAATTTTGGAAACCAATTTGAGGGTTTGCGTATCTGATGGATGTAAGTACAAGGGATGTTGAAAATTGATGGTTGCTCCAAGACTAACACAAGGGCTTTGATACCATGTCAAAAATGAGGTGGAAGAGAATACTAACAGCAAAGTTGATTAAAATGTTGCATTAATCTACTTAACTAGGGTGATTTACAAACCCCAGCTTTGAGATGAAAATTGAGGTGAGGATTTTTGTTAATTTCCATCTTGAGATGGATACAACCCCTTTTCTTAAATGTCTAATCTTATTCCTTTGTATAGGCTTAGACTAACAACTAACTATGCTCATCCACTAAATTCCAACATACCATCGATGAGATCCTCAATAATATGGTGGCATTCCTACACACAGGCCTGATTAGTGTAACACCTTTAATTTAATGTACAAGAAATATCTCATTTTTAAATAACTCCTGTTAATATATCCATACCCAGCTAAAACTCAAGTATTTAAATGTGAAGTTCATCAATAAATTCTCAAATATTAAATAAATGTTTATAATATTCTAGGTCATGGCAATTAACTAAGAATGAAACATGTGCCCAACCAAAAGATTTTTGAGCACACATGCCCAATTTCCTGGCATCTTCCCTTGATGCCTATAAGAACCCTCACCTGAAAATTGTAAAAGGTAACAGATAAAATTTAATATCTTAGTAACAAATAATAATTCTAAATATATCAGTAAATCAATTTAAAATCTCATTTCACAATATATATTTATATATATAATATCTTTCACAATATCAATTCACAAATGAATTCACAAATTAGGGAATACTGTTTTCTCCAAGCAAAAGCATATCAAAAAAATCATATAAACAAGTGATGCATCACATACCCTTC